TAGCTTTTGAGGACGAAGCAAGAAACAATTTTTGAGAAGCAGAAAAAAGTAGCTTCTTTCCAAAAGCACTTTTCTGAGAAGCACTTTTGAGAAAATACACTTAGAAGCAGTTTTTGAAAAGCTTGGCCAAACACTAATTACTGCTCAAAAGTGCTTTTCAAATTAATTAGTCAAACACAAACTGCTTCTCACCAAAAGTACTTTTTTGAAAAGTACTTTTGAAAAAAGCACTTTTCCAAATAAGTTGATTTTAGATGCTTGGCCAAACATGCTATAAATCTGAGATGAATTTATCACACGATATAAATAATACAGGATTAATTATCCCCAAATTGTAGCAAGTGTTGTTTTTATCCCTTAGAAATAGGCTAAGTCTTGAAAGTTAAAGTTAAGATGCCAATAAAAGAAAAATAGAAACAAAATCTTGATGACAAAAATTCCAAATAATGCCTTAAGCTTGTCGATTGATTAGGTTCGCATGTGAAGTTTTGTCGATGATTAAATTATATATAGCATCTTTTTGAAGTAAACGCCAACCAAAAAAGTCATGACTACAATGCAAAAGTAGTAGCATTTTTATTTCGGCAGAATCAGTATTTAGGTGGGTCATAGCAATAAAAATGTTTTAACAGAGTAGGTCAAACCATTATTCTACCGTTCTATAAACTAAAACATGTTAACTTACCTTAATTAGTGATTAACTAAGGTAAAAATAGATAGTACTCCCTCTGTTTCAGTTTTGGTGAACCTATTTCCTTTTTGGTCCGCTCCAAAAAGAATGACCCTTTCTAAATTTGGTACTCCCTCCGTTCCAATTTATGTAAACCTGTTTGACTGGGTACGGAATTTAAGAAAAAATGAAGACTTTTGAAATTTGAGGTCCTAAACAAGTTAAAAATGGACCCAGAGTATTTGTGTGGTTATAAAAGCTTCTCATTAAGGGTAGAGTTGTAAGTTTATACTAAATTGTTTCCAAATTTAGAAAGGGTTCATTCTTTTTGGAACAGACGAAAAAGGAAATATGTTCACATAAACTGGAACGGAGGGAGTAACAATTTAGCTTAAACATATAATTCTACCCTTAATGAGAAGCTTTTACAACCACACAAATACTCAGGGCCCCTTTTTGAGTTGTTGGGGGG